AGCAATTAGTTTGCAATATCATTCTATCCTCCAGACACTGAGATGCTAAAATATTTTCTTTGAAAGTTTGTGGCTCAAATGGATCTCATGAAAATAAGGCATAGAGATCTTTCCTGCATTGCCTCATTACTAATTTAAGCTTATCAATTTGTTTTTCATCAGAGCATTATCATCTCAAGCATCAGACATTTATCGTATTCAATCTCTTGGGATATGAAAAGTTATTTTCAAAGCTAAGAAGACAATAGCTAACTGGGCTCACATCTGTAATCCTAGCTACTCAGGAGGCAGAAATCAGGAGGACTGAGGTTCAAAGTTAGCCCTGGGCAAAAAGTTCTCAAGATCCTATTTTGAAAATACCCAATATGAAAAAGAGCAGGTGGAGTGGCTCAAGGGGTAGAGTGCCTGCCTAGCAAGTAGGAGGCCCTGAGTTCAAAAAAAAAGAAAAAAGATAGAAAAACAATAGCTTAAAAATTATTTGACTGTAAGACTCACAAGGGCAGGAACTATAATGTTCTATTTATCATTAATGAACTTTTCTGAAGTTTAGACATTCAAATAGTTGTTGAATGAATGAATAAATGTTTAGGGTACATAATTATGTTTAGGATAACTATATATTAGTTATATTTTTATTTTATGGAATAAAAACAGCTTCATACAGCTCTCTATCAAAACTCTCCTCCAGATAATTGTCATGTGACTAAGTGGAAATAACATAACTATTACAGTCAGGCTCTATGTCTACAATGAGTAAAGTTGAGTAAGCAGTGACCATTGGCAACAAACCTTTTTCTCTGTAACTTTCTACACTTATATATATGTACAAGGGTGCATCTGTAAGTGTAGATACATGCCTCTAACCTTCTTTGTGTCTTATCCATAGAACACACAACAAAAAAATTTGAAATTTCCCGTCTGAGGGAAATAATCCCTACAAATATTGAGGGCTGCCTTTAGGTCAACAGTGTATCTACCAGGTCCCTAAAGATTATAGTCACTTAATTAGTCTCTCTGACTTGGAACCAAGATAAATTGTGCCCTTGTAGTTATCAGACACTATTAAGAAATTATAAGTTTCTAGTAAAACATTAAAAAAGAAGACAATAAATCACAGCATTTGGACTCTCATGTACTCATGTAACATCTATACATATACAATTTTACATTATATGTTAATATATATTGAAACACTCAAATGATACAATGATCTATGCATTATATTAATATATCATGTATTAACATAATGTTTGTATTGTAATATATATTATATAATATACCTTGTATTATATTTATTATAGATTTATATGTTTATTATATAGTTATACTTCTAAAATTTGGATTTTGTTATACATTCTGTATGTATACTTTCTGTGCCTTTTCACTTGAACTATGGAGATGAGTTAGTAAAAGTTCTAAATTGGGCCAGAATTCTAAAATGTTTTAGCTGCATAGCACCATATGTCTAGAAATATAGAGTTATTATAGTTTTACAATTAACTTTAAACCTTTATGTGTCATAATAAATAATGCAGTATAATATATATGTTATGTATAAATAGCATTTCAAAATTTTGTGTTTTATAATATAACCATGGCGGGTCTTATAAGTCATATAAATTGTTTCATAATACATATAATACATTATATATGTTATTTAAGTATGTAACATAAGATGAGTGTGGTGGCTCACACTTATAATCTCAGCACTCAGGAGATAAGGCAGAAAGATAGTGAGTTTGAGGCCAGCCTAGGCTATATAGTGACTGTAGGTCTCAAATAAATAAACAATGTTATAAATCACAAAAGTTGGCAAAATCAATTAAAAGTTTGGCAAATTAGATATTTGAAATGTGTTCTTTAAGAAAGGGAACAGAAACAAAGCTTTATGGCTGTCCACATCCATTGGAGTATATGTAAGGATGGAGTGCTTAGAGGGAATTGTTAGAAAATGTGTGCTTGTTGTGATTAAGAATGCAGAACTAGGGTTGGTGGAGTGGCTCAAGTGGTAGAGTGCCTGCCTAGCAAGTGTGAGGCCCTGAGTTCATATCCCAGTACCACAAAAACCAAATAAAATAAAACACACAAATAACTACTAAAAAAAATAAAGCAGAACTGTAGCAGAACTAGCTACAGTTTGAAAATCTGCCTCTACCACTTACTTGTGTCTCTATTTTCTTACCTCCTAACTAGGAGGAGCGAGGGTGCCATGCAGTAACGATCAAAATAAACGTTATGTCCCCTCACACAAAGCTTTCCAAAGGCTCAACAGATTGTCCAGGGCAACCTAATCTCCCAGTGGGCTTGGCATCTGGATCTGTGTAATCTCTTCCCACCTTCATAATTGACAAGAGTCCACACTATCCTAACAGAGAAAGAGAAAGCATGGGGAATCCAAGCATTGCTTCTTACACACATCCATGTTTTTAGACAAGTGTTCATTACTGTAAGTGAAGAAGATTAAGTAAAAGTTAATGGGAACTCAAAGAAATAACATCTAATTTAGACTGGGGAGTCTCTAAAACTAATCTAGTCAAACCTTTTTATGATGCAGAAATAAATATCTGGAGAAAATACATGAATTTTTATGTTACCCACCCAGCAATAGCAGAGTCTGAAGCCAAATTCAGATATCTTCTTTAGCTCCCTCCTGGTTGCAATTCCATTATCAACCTTTGGAAGTATACTAACATTCTTGCCTCTTCTGTATATCCTAGGGGACCAGAGCAATGTAGTTGTTAAGTGACACTTTTCCAAACTTGTAATTAGTAGAAAATCCATAAAGGGTGTTACAATAAGGGGAGGATTCCCAGGCCTGAAATTATACCACAACAGCTATGATTTCTATTCATCATTGCTTACCAGTGTTATGCTTATTGTGCAACCCAACTGAAAATCCAAGATTAACTAAAGAATGATATTTTTGCTTTGCTTTGACAAGAAAGAATAAGTCCTGTGAGAAGAGGCAAAATGGCATGCTTCAGAACTTTTTTTAAACATTCAAAAATAAGTCTGCTTATTACTGGGTTTTCTGAATCATTTTGAAAAGAAATTATAACCAGACTCTTACAGAGCACTACAAGGTGTATTCCTATCAACAGGGAGAGCTGGAGAACTCCTGGAAAGGCTACACATGGTTTTTGTGTCTGTTGCTGAATAAAGGATAAAATCAATCAACCAACATGTTAAGATAAGTGAATGTCTCACTGTTTATTGAAGGGTGTGACTGACAATGACTAAAACAGTCTTTTTCCACGTCAGCAGATTGAAACTGAAAAGGTAGCTGTGGTTATTTCAAAAATGAAGGAATGATCACAGTTCTATTACTACTGCTCATTACCATATTATCTTTTCCCTGCCTTCCATTCAGACCTGGGCAGGGAGCAGGGGTGGGACCTCACCTCTGGAGGCAGAGGAATTCTGCCCTAAAGCATTCTGGGAAATAAATGCCAGACCAGAATTACTGTTGTCAGTTACTTTGCTAAGCTAACTGTCTGGCCAAACTGACAATTCAGTATTGCAGCACCCCAAACAGTCTGTTAAAAATGTTTTTTGGGGGGTGATTTTGCTTTTAGACCTTATAAAATGTCATCTAACCATATGAAAAACTACAAGTATCATTTATTCAAATGGCAACCTCCTTACGTGACAACCATGACAGAAAATTGACCAAAGCTAGAAGGAGTCTACCTAGAGATTCTGTGTAATTTTTATAATAAGGACCATATTGACATTCTTAAATTTAAATTTTTAAATTTTTAAATTTATAGCTGACACATAATATTTGAACATATTTATGGGTACAGCACAATAATTCAACAACAGTAGATGTATAATGATCAAGTCAGGAAAATTATTATTTTTGTCTCCTCAAACATGTATATTTCTATGTTGGAAAACTTCAGACTCTTCTTGACTACTTAGTTTGAAATATATAACTAATTGTCACACAGTACAGTTACCCTACTGTGCTACAGAACACTGGAACTAATTCAACCCAACTGATTGTATTCTAGTGTCCATTACAACCCTACCCCTCCTCCTCCTTATCTACTATTCTACTTCTAGGAGAACAACTTTCTTAGCTTGCACAAATAACTGAAAATATTCAATATTTGTCTTTCTGTGCAGTATATTTATACAGAGAAATCTGGTCCATCTTATTCTAACAATTGGTATTGATGATATTCTTTAGTCTTTATAAAAGCAGGGAAATCTAGATGAGAGTAAAATAAGAATAAAAAGGGCCTTTTTTAAGTCATTGGAGTAGCTTAGGACTCTCAAAGGTAATATTTGTAGTTCACATCAAGCCTGAGCAAGTATTTGGGCTAGTTTTATATGTCAAAGTCACAGGGGAAGACTTAGCAAGGACACTTTCTTGCTTTGAAGGAAGCAGGCTGAGAAGATATCATTTCTTTCAACACTGAACTCCCCTCCCTTTTCCCCTGCTTGGAGCTGACTCCTCCTTCCTGCAGTTGCCAGTATCACAGGCTGATTGAAGAACACAAAGGTTTGGATGGGAGCCTGTGTTCTGACTCTCTGACTAGCTGTGCTACTCTCTCTCTCTCTCTCTCTCTCTCTCTCTCTCTCTCTCTCTCTCTCTCTCTCTTCTCTCTCTCTCTCTTTCTTTCTCCAGAAGTAAAACCTACCTGACAGTCTCTGCCTTTGAATTCAGCTCTGGAACCAAATGCATCATTTTCTTGCTCTTAAAAGTGAACTGAGTTTGATTGCATCAAGCTACAAGCTGCTTTTGCTCCAGAAGGACCCCAAAAGGATCTAGACACCATTGCTTTTCAGTCTACCTGAGGAGCTTTTGCTTTCTTGCCTGAAATTTGGAGGCCGAAGGAGTTTTTGGTTTGTTTGTTTTTAATTGGAATGTTGAAAAGTTTCTTACCGCTGTCTGAAATGGAATCTAATTTTTAAATGTGGATTGAATGAGCCCTAAAGAAGTCATGACTGACCATTCTGCAGGACTGATGGGGGACCATCTAGAGGGAAATTTGCTAGGAGAATGACATCTGATTTGCAATGGTCATGTTTTTTTTTGAGAAACTTCAGATTCATTGAGAAGGAAAATTAAATATTGACTAAGGACAATGTCTTTTTTTCTCGGTAACTTAACAAATGACTCTAACCTGTGGAAAGTAAGATACAATTCTACGGACCTTATCAATTCTCCAGGAACCTTGAATATCTATCTTTTTTGCCTAACGAGTTTAATGACTCTTGCAGCCCTGGCGGGCAGCATTTTTTCACTAGTTTCCCTGCTGAAAATGCAGAACAAAACTGTTGTGTCCATGCTTGTGGCTTCTTGGTCTGTGGATGATCTCATGAGCGTACTCTCAGTGACCATCTTCATGTTTTTGCAGTGGCCAAAAGAGATCCCCGGCTATTTCCAGTCTCTGTGCACCACCTCGGCTCTATTGTACTTATGCCAGGGACTCTCGAGCAATTTGAAGGCGACGCTCCTAGTCTCCTACAACTTTTGCACGCTGCCCAGGGCTGCGGGGAGTCAGGCGGCCTCCAGGAGGTCTGGCCGGGTTTTCGGCGCGGCGCTGACAGTGTGGGCAGCCAGCCTGCTGCTCGCCGCGCTCCCGCTGTGCGGCTGGGGCGCCTTCGTGCGCACGCCCTGGGGCTGCCTGGCCGACTGCTCCAGCTCCTACGTGCTGCTGCCTTTCGCCGTCTACACCTCGGCCTTCGCACTCCTGGCCGGCCTCTCGGTCCCGCTCACTCACCAGCTGCTGTGCTCGGAAGAACCGCCGAGAGTCCATGCGAACTACCAGGAAATTTCCCGCGGAGCCTCCACTCCCGGGACCCCTGGCACCGGGGGACGAGAGCTCAGCCCGTCTCCCGAGGATGCTCCGGGCGGCGCTTGGCGGTGCGCTGGGGTTCAATCACCCAGCTCCGACCCTAGCTTCGGACCCGCCCTGCGCGCTGCCTGCGTGGCACCAAGAGGGACCCTGTACCGCTCCAGGAGCTGGGCCGTGAGCGTAGCGCAGAGGCGCTTCGCTCTCATCCTAGCGCTGACAAAAGCCATCCTTTGGCTGCCCATGATGGTAAAAGTGCAGTGGCTGAGAGCGAGCGGGGGTGCAGGAGTGCGAGTGCGGGCGAGTCCAGGTCTCTGGCTTGGGGGTCACTGAGTCAGCTTCCAGGCGTCTCTCTGGGTTTCTGAGGCGCGCTTGGGGGAAGGCTGTCACCTTTAGGCTTGGTTAACTCCGAAGCCTTTGCTTCTAGAGGCCTCTCTCAAATTGAGGGGGACCGGGAGCACTTTCGATCGTGGGAGACTTAGTTTCCCGAGATCCTTCGTGGTCCATGGTGTTCTTGTCTCTCGAAGTATTAAGGAAAAGAGGGAGGGAGTAAAAAGAAGGCTTTTTCCTTTCCACCCTCTGTTGTCCCCCCTCTCTCGGCTTTCTTCTCGCTTGCTAAGGACGCCGCCCATCCCCAGCAGGGAGGGACCCATCAAAGGCGCGATCTGATGTGGAGCTAAGAGACAGGGGGCAAAACCTGGCTTTTGTTCCAGCCTTCAGGAGTGAGCGTGGTTGGGAAGCGACAGTGGCGCTCTGCTGTGACAAGCGCGCCAGGGTGGAGATGAGGAACCAGGGAGGTGACAAAAGCCATCAGGAGTACAAGTACTCGAAACACGCCTGCGTGTTTTCCCGGGTAGAGACCCCTCGTAGACTGTGCTTCCTTGGTGGAGATTTGAATTGGCAGCAGGTGCAGTCCGGGCACTGAACAGCAGAAACCACGAAACGCTGAGGAGCTGACGCAGCGGGGTGTGTCCCATGGGTTCCCAGGAGCCTGCCTCCAAAGGCTAGAGCTCCAGCGCTGGAGCAGAGCTCCTGGCTCTCAATCAGGAAAAGGGACTGGAGAAGGGGCTGGGGTAGGGACCCTTCGCGATAGGCTTGGTTCTGAAAGTCTCTGCCTTTGCAGATCCATATGGTGGTCAAGCACGTGGTGGGATTTCAGAGCTCTCCCGTGGAGACATTCAGCTTTCTACTAACCCTGCTGGCCACCACTGTCACCCCAGTGTTTGTTCTGTCCAAACGCTGGACCCACCTGCCCTGTGGCTGCATCATCAACTGCAGGCAGAGTGCCTACTCAGTGGCATCAGATGGGGAAAAAAGTAAGTCTTCTGCGTGGTGCCGCGCGCAAGATGTGTGCACTCAAATGCAGAAAAGTGCGCTAATGAGAGAGATGCCTCAGTGGAGGACAAAGCCCGAGGGCAAATAGCAAGGAAAATTAGTGATGTGAAGCAATTCTTAGCTTGGTGTTGCAGTAGGCTTTACATGAGGAGTGTCTTAACCCGCGAGGTAGTTGTGCACTTAGGTAAGTAAAGAAGAGGCAAATTCATTCAACACAGTCCCATGATGTCAGCAAAGGTCCTTAGATTAAGCATCCACAATAGCAAGAACCCAAAAAAATAATCTCCCCACAACCCCAGGCCTACATATGAGAAGCAACATTGCTGAGAAGCTTGTATCTGAAAAGAGATGGGTAGCACTCTGAAAAGAATTTAAAAATTATTATAACCTGTTACTGTTCAATGGAACAGTGAGAAAAGCATTTTCATTATTTTAATGCTTATTTTCTTTCAGGGTATTAAACAGTTTTCAGAGTAAGTAATCAGAGTGCCTAAAAAAGTCCCCAGGTAAAAATTTACTAAGTTCCTCTGCTGTGAGAACATGTGTAGATATAAATCAACCAAGTAACAAAATCCTCAGTTTCAAGAAGGAATAAAGGTGGCAGAGTTCGTCATTGCATGTGTACATATCAACCTACCTACTCACTTTTAAATATTTTATCTTCTAGAGAGCACACCCAGAATGGGACTGAGAAGCAGGGCCAGTTACCAAGTTCTCTACAGTTTAATCGTTCCCATATTCTAAGACAGGGGAAGTTGAGGAATGAGCAGTATTTTGATCTGTTAGGAAAAAAAAGGATATTATTTTGTCATTCCAGACAAAAGATAGGATGTTCTTTCATTTAATAAATCTAATAATGCATTAGTAGATGCTGAAATAACTGTCCCACTAATACTCCTTTGAGCAGAATAAGCAAGTGTGTTATTCTTTAACAGAGAAGAAAGATTACATTAAAAACAGTTCACGTCAGACCATTTTAGGGTTGTAAAAATTATAGTGCCAAAGTATATTTCATAATCAATCCCACAACAGGGTTATTTTATAAATATTAATTACTGGTCATTTTTCATGTGTTTATTACATTTAAATTTTAGAATGTCTAGATATTTTTAATTGACAAAAAGGATTTTTACTGTTGATAGATGCCGTGTTTGCTTGTGTCTTCACAATAACAGTAAAACTTATAATAATGAGAAGCTTCTAGAGACTAATATCAAGAGCAATAACAATGGAGAAATTAATAATAAATTTTATGCACCACTTATTAAAACATAACATAAGAAATTATTTAGAATCCTGCTCTAACAGTCTAACATGTATTAAGGTTTTACCACTAAACTAGCAAACCAGCCCTTTCTAATTATATTTAAGATTGTGAAGTAAACAAGAATCCAGCCCGTAAAAATGAGGTCTTTCTGAAGTAGTTTCAGGACAGGCATTTTTAAAAGGTGGGGAGCACCATCAGAGCTGGGAGGAAAATAATGCAACAACCCATCATTGCTAACAAACTAGAAAAACTTCCGTCAAAACTTCAGGAGACAGAAGAGCCTATAGCCAAGCTAGCAGAATCAATGATGGTGTGAACATCACATTTGAAATTAAAAATGTGCCTTTTAAGATCAAAACGTTTTCATAAGCATTTACTTTTAAACTCCAAACAAAGGATTGAACTATGTATGAAGACTGATTAATAAAGAGGTATGGCTTCAAAAGCAAAACGTTGTGAGAAATATTGGTTTTGAATACTTATAGTTCAAACAACTCCACCCCTCTTACAATCCAGGCTGAGACTAAGAACATGTCTTCACCACATGTGGAGGCAGTGTCAATTTCCCTATTACTAAGACTTCTGAGACCCCAGTGGTGGCTCTTCCTTAGGAAGGCCAGGTGCTTGACCAGCTACACAATTCAATTCTTTAGTTTTATGTTTCATCTTTTTCTCCTTTACAAGTTAAGAATCTTCCTTTTTTACAATATTTTCTTCTCTAATTCATATTTACTATAGGCTCATCTTTTACATATTAGATATAATTCTATATCTCAGCTTCACTGAATTAGTTAACTGAGAAATGTGACCAGGGAATGAATGTCAGTACTAGAAAATAATTGGCAGAAGTAAAAATTCTTTTCTCTTTTAGATAGTAATTTATATTATTACCATCTCAAAACAAAGGCAACTTTATGGTGATTTTTAACACAGAGCTCTCAGGTGGTGGATGTGCAGGGTGGATGCAGCTTTCAGACTCATTTTGCTTGCCTGGTGTGATGTTTACTTTTTTAATGAAATAAATAGCTAAAATACAATTATTTGATATAAAAATCATTTTCAGTTTCTATTTTTTCACAAAATTAGAGTATCTGGTGACACATTACTCTGAAAAGTATTCATTTTGATAAGTAGATATAGTTACATATAAAATTATAGTTGGCATGATGTGGTCGATTCATGTTTTATCCAGGTTTTGGAAACCGTGAAGCTCCCACAATTGAAGGACAAATGCAACATTGTATTTATTGTATTTCAGAAGTGTAGGATAAATCTCAAAAGATACTTGGCCATACTCTATTGACCTTTAAGTTTCTTACAAGTGAAATATCTCAAACTATACAAAAGTTTTAAAATCAACTTGGCTATATTTTTTAAATGGTATAAAAGTAGGAGTTAGGAACTGTTTCCAATTCTTTTGAGGTCATCCTCCTACAAATGAGTCATCTTTTAAAGATACAATTTCTCTCAACCTCTTATTACATTCAGCCTCACTTAGTCCAGGCTGTCCAGACACAAGCCCTCCCTACCCCACCCGGGTGGGGGGACTTCTACAGATGCCTGGTGCACTCACTCACTCACCGTACAAACATTTCATAAGGGAGTGGCTTCTTACACTGTGCCGTATCTCCAATAAGGAGCTCACGATCTATGAGCTAAACATGAGTCAAAACCATGGTTTTTAAACCAATTTTTATAGGTCTTCTTTAAACCAATTTTAATTATGGGTCAGTATTTTAAGATCAGGATATTTCACATCAAAATTTATGAATCTGGCTTGTCTTGAACAGTCAGAAAACTAGCAACACTGCCCCCTTCCCACAACAACAGCTGTGAGGAGCCGAGGAGCCCATTTTAGATAGAAAAGGAGCCTTTCTCATTTGCTATAATACACCAGTTGTTGTTGCTGCTGTTATTATTAGTAGTAGTAGTGATAGTAGTAGTACTAAAGAAAGAAGGAAGGAAGGAAGGAAGGAGGGAGGGAGGAAAGAAGGGAGGGGAGAAGGAGAGAAAGAAAGAAGGAAGGAAGGAAAGAAGAAAAACATGTTATTTTTCAAAGTTGAAAAGCTGCTTAGCAGCATGGTCAAATTTTAATGTGTCCATTTACAGGTAATACTGTCAGAAGTGGTATACATCAAAATATTTAAGGAAGTTGTATCTGTTGGTGGTGTTCTCAGCTGAATAATTCATAATATTAAGGTTAATTAATAACTAATTCCTAATATGGTACAATTTATAAGCAATATATTTTATACAAAAAAAAGAAATTTACAGAATTAGTTGACTGAAAAAGCTAAAACTGAATGTGTTTGAGAGTTTTCTAATTTATACTTAATTTTGGTTATTTAAAACTGTTTTAAAGACTGAAAGGGTCCTTCAGAATGTATGTATTTTAAGTCCCTTGTTGTGCAAGTGTGAAAAATTAGGACCAGTGTAATAAGATGATTTGGTTTTGTAAGGTATAATTGCTTTGCATAATTGACAAGAAGCAAATGAAGATATTTTTAACTCATAATGATCAGGCTGAGTGTGCTTTTTATTTACATTCACTACGTATATCCAAGTGCTGTTTATATATCTAGCTTTCTAATCATGGAATTTTATTATTGCTTTCACTTAGCCAAGAGGAAAGGCTTTGAATTCAATCTATCATTCCAACAAAGTTTTGGAATTTATAAAATAGCACATGAAGATTACTATGATGATGATGGAAATTCCATATCCTACCACGACCTGGTGAACCATGAGTGTGAAGTTATAAGAGACTCCCAGAGAGATAACCATAACATCTTCAGTGCCATAAAAGTAGAAATCAGCACCAGGCCTTCTCTGGACAGCGCCACACTGACAGGCATCAACAAAGGCACCAACACTGATATCACAGAGGCTAAACAGGATCCTGGCAAGGAAAAGGGTGCATTTTCCGACAAAACAGGAAGTGGTCTTAACTATGAAGAAACTGTCTGTTTTGAAAGTCCAGAAAGAAGACTATCTCATGAGGAAAATCAGAAACCAGACCTTTCAGACTGGGAGTGGTGTAGGAGTAAATCAGAAAGAACCCCACGTCAGGTATGGTAAAAGTTATTCTTCTTGTGAAATTAAAAGTAAAATGAAATATGATAGTCATGAAAAAAATGTTCAGTTGCTTCTTTCATTCAGTCATGTCCAATGGTAACTTCATTTGCTTCAATTAATTCATATAATTAATTTTATTTCAAGCTATCTTTTGAAGGACTTTTAATTTTTAAAATTAGTTTTACATTTTCATTACATTTTTCTACATTTTGGAATCAGCAAAGTTAAATAGACTCCTTAAGAAGAGTAAGACATTTTATTTTAACCACAAATACTCTGCTTAAATCCAGACTGACCTCTCTCTCAAAACTCATGCCTCTGTGTTAATTAAACTTGTTGACCTATAGATTTTATTTTTCTCTCCTATACCCCAAAAGTGTCTCCCAAGTCCCTGAGAGAATTTTCTTTTATACCTAAAGGCAAATATTTAAACAGCAAGCAGTGAGGAGCCCTTTCAACTCCAACTAGATAGCTTGCTTGTCTATCTTGCAAGAATTAGTCCTTCCAGTATCCAGCAGGGGAGCAAACAAAGACTCATTTCACAACACATTCCAGTGAGGCATCACAAACCCTCCCAAATGTCTCATTCCCCTTAAATATATTTTTTAAAAAATGGTTTGGTGGTGTTTTTTGAAAAAATTAAAACTGAAAGAATTTGCACATGGATTTATCTCATTCTCTCCTAGATTCCAGCCTGCTGAGAATGATAATGGGTCTTTCTTATTTTATTCAATTTACAGTGTGATATTGATAGGAAACTGTTCTTCCCTGCAAACTCTTGTGTCTGATAATTAAAGTTGCTTTTGCTTCCACACTTGATTGCTAGGTAGATGGAAGCTTTTTCTACATGATTTAATGAAATCTGAATGTACTTGTACCATCTCTCCAGAATCAAAAATGTAATTCCAGAAATATGATAAGTATAATGTATTCACTGATCAAAAGTATGACCATTTATCACCAACTATGAATATGGGTAGGATAATATGAAGTATCCTTTTCTCCCATTAAGTAAAGCCACTATTATCATTCTTATATGACCATTGAAAAAGTAAAGTGGAATAGTAAAAGAAAATATACAAAACACACTATTAGAAAAGATGACTATGCATATTATTTAACAACTAGGAATCTCAGAAAATATCACTAAATGTTTGTCATATATTGACTAATACAAACAAAAGTGGAGGTCAAAGAACACAGTACTCCATATTTTTAGAACAATATGGTTCTGGGGAATTCCTGCACTTACATCATCAATTTGTTTCTGAATAACCTGGACTTCTGGCTTTCTTGCATGAAAAATTAAGTCATGTTAGTGATGAAGTATGACTGTCCCAATAACTACCTTAAGATGTCCTCCCCACCACCAGCTTCCTGCTTCCTCCTTAGAGGGCATAGCAATCACGATCTTGCTCAGGCTTGTTGTCTTACCACAAGCATGTGTAACTCTAGCACAAGACATGTTTAGGGTGAGCTCTATCTAGATGGTACCTGATAGTCTTTTGGGACTTTCTTTCACTCAACATTACTTTAAACGACTCCATTTTTCTAAAATATATTTTGTCAGGACATTGAGAATTATCATCTCAAGTGTCACAAATTATAGCTCTCATTTAAAAGTCTTGGCTATAGTTTGTGGAGTATAAATAATGAACTTCACCTGGAAAAATGACTGTTCCCATTTACACACACATGTATTGTTCTATGATAACGAGGAAGCACAACTTGCTCCAAGCCCTCTTAAGTCAAAACACAAAATGATAAATGGAAATGCAAAACTTTGATCAATCTAGGTATCTTTCAACTGTAAAGATTTTCTTATTAATGTTAATATTCTAACATTTGTGAAAAGCAAGTACTTCAGGAAATTTACACAAAATGATGACTGTGAGAAAAATGACTAGTGGTGAGGTGAGTAATATGATATTCAAGAACAGTAAACCTTTTTAGGAAGCCAGTTGAAATTAAATGAAATATCATAAATTTTAAAATAACAATAAGAAATCATTAAACCACAAATTGATGTTTTTGGTCAGTAAAATTGCTTACAGTCAAAGTTCAGCATTAAATAAAATTTTAAAATATTAAATTATTCTTTTTACAAATTTTACAAAACATTTTAAATTCTTTAAAATGTTAGCAAAATACATTTAGGGCTTAAAAGCTTGTGAGACCCTTTCATAAGACCAAGAAGCAGGTTTTAATTCTTAAATATTCTAAAGCAGCCAATATTACATGGGAGTAGATAGCGACTTAGAATTTTTATTTTTACCCCTTTCTTCCAGTGACTTCTTTGCTCTAAAATCAGTGTTAACTTATGTAGCAATGTATTAAATTTTAATAGACAATGAAGTTACTATACGAAAACCTTACTTGTTGATTTTCTGTGGCTACACTTCAATTTATTCACTTGAATTAAATGGTATTACGTTGAATAATGTATATTTGCTCTTAGGATGTTTAAAACAGTAGATTTGACTTTAAATACATTTTATGAATTCACATTTATTTTTGCAATAGGTTTTGCTCAATTTTTATGTTAGCATTTATATTAGTAAATAAATCATCAGTATATCTTGTTGGAACTTCTGGTAGGATTGAGAATGTCAGATGGAGGCTAATGTGTGAAAATGATGAGAGTAGAATGACTTTAGTAGAATATGATTCAATAAAATTCACAAGTTCAGGGTGTTTGTAGGACTGAAAATCAGAGTTAAAACCGAACCACATAATTGCTTCTTTTTAGGACCTCTCCTAGAAGGAATACTGGATGGTTAATTTTCATAGGAAGCTACAGAAAAACTCAGCCAGGCTTTATGTGCAGGCAAGTCAAATGGTGATATAATTAAAATATAGATTGCAATTGAGTTAGGTCTGTGATGGGGCCTGAGATCCTGCATTGCTAATAAGCTTTTAGGCAACTTTTGTGCAAAATCAAGGTTCCACCCCAGGCCTACAGAACCAAGGCTCCCAAGTTAGTTCATAAGCACATTAAAACTTAAGAAGCTCTGCTTCACCTGTAATCACAAGATAATGGACACATTTTCCTCAAAATAAACAAAATTTTAGTTAATTTGCAGGTGATTTTAAATTTTGTTTTTATTGGCTTTATCTCTTAAGCAGGACAAAATTAATTTATAATTAATATACACCCTATAAAATAAAAGAAGATGAGAAGAAAATATACTAACATGCATAGCTTTTCTCATTCCTAAAAAAGAATATCTTCTCTTTTCACTTTTTAAAATAAACTATTAAAAAACAACTGGGTGCAAGGCATTAGGCTCCCCGTGGCTTTATTGGTCAAGAGTGTAGATGCTGACACTTTTCTGAGTAATTATTGACATTTTTTTAACTGAAATGACCACAGAAAAATCCACTTACCACATCCTATCCGTAGCCTCCACCGAGTCATCCTAACACAGATGACTGTCTGACTGAAGTGCAGGTATTTTATTTTTAAATACTTCGACTCATCTGAAGTGATTAGTTCATTACTCACTGTCCAGACACCTGAAAAATTGCTTTACTTCTTTTTTGGTAAACTGGCATTTGAACTCAGAGCCTTACATTTGCTAGGCAGCTGCTCTACCACTTGAGCCAGGCCTCCAGCTCTTTTTGCTTCAGATCATTTTTTTCAGATAGGGTCTCGGGCTTTTTTTTTGTCACATGCCTCCCATGTAGCTGGGATTACAGACGTACACCACCATGCCAAGCCCTCATTCTTTTCTTTTAAAAATTTTATAACCTTTATTGTTTTATGATTATAATGTTAATCTACAATTATTATAGAAAATTTAGAAATTGCTGATGAGGAAAAAAAACAAAAACAAAAAACCCATACTGATTTCTAGCTACCCAGACTAAGCCATAACTTATATTTTGTACTATAAAGCATAAGGCTCTTTCCAACACCTTTGTTTTTACTAGTTTTGACAAACATGGGATCATACTACACATATGATTTGGGAACCTGCTTTTCTCCATGCAGCATAATAATTTTTACCTCATTTAAGTTGGTGAAGTCCTTTGTGTTATTATCTGGTATAGTTTAAGTGGCTATTTGGAGTATGGCAGAAAACTCAGTAATAAATGCAAAATTTTCTCAAATATTTAAAGTCCTGGAAATTGAAAGCAAGGTAATTTTATTCTAAATAAATTCAGACACTTCATAAAACATTTTGTGATTCTCATACCAGCCATGATTTGCTGGTCACTTTCCACAAATTTAAGGGAATTAGCATTGGATCAAGTCCTGTATGGAATCCATTAATCCACTTTTTAAGCTAAGAATTCTACTAACATTCTCTAAAATGCATGGTAGCTTACAGAGACCTGTGCGTTGAAAGCACAGAGCCATGGCTTGAACCTGGCCGAGGACCTAAGCCCTGATGGCACTTGTTGCTTTGTCTCCTGGGTCTGTAGCAACTCCTCACCTTCCTTTTTCTTACATGATGCTGACACTTTTTTTTTTGTGCTACTGAGACTTGACTCAGGACCTTCACCTTGAGCCACTCAACCAGCCCTATTTTTATGATGGGTTTTTTCGAGATAGGATTTCTTGGAACTATTTGCCCAGGCTGGTTTTGAACTGCGATTCTCCTGATCTCTGCCTCCTGAGTGACTAGGATTACAAGTGCCAGCCACCAGCACCCAGTGACCCTGACACTTTTGAAAACTTCTGGCCAGATTTCTTTCATTTGTTTTGTTTTTGAAGTATCCCTCAGTTCATACTTGTCCATGTGTTTTTTCTTGGCTAAATGAAGTTATGCCTCTTTGGCAAGAAAACCAAGAGGCACGTTTGCCCTTCCCAGTGTATCCTACCAAGGAGCCTGTGATAGAAGCCTGTGAGCCTTGTGTGAATGCTGATCTCTTTGTAATAGTAGGGTCTGCCAGCTTCTCCATATTCTGTGACTGTCTTCTCCTTTGTAATCTGTACGTGCTTTGTAGAGAGCCATTTTGAATGTGTGCAGATGTTCTGTTTCATATAA